GAAAGATCGCAGTTGCCAGAGTTTAACTCAATTAACCCCCTGCGATATCTGTACCGTGGGTCTGCAGCATTAATATGTCAATAGCCACTTCCACCGGTGGCCAGAATTTCACTAACGCCGGTGAAATTACGGGGCAAGCGCTGAGCATGTCTTGCTACCCATTGAGGGAAGCTTAATGCCAAGCCAACCCTTTGCCTGAGTTTATCTATACGCGTCTAATTCAATCTTGCCTCTGTTGAACAACAAAAGAAAAATAGTATTTGGCACATACTTTGCGACCTTTAATTCCTTTGATCTAAATGACGCGCCCAGATAAGTGGTACTCTGAAATGTTATAAACTGGTAAAATAAGCTGGTCATCGATAAGACGAGCCATATGGTCACCGCCTCCGAGTGAACAAAGGCTGGTTCGCGTCTTTCGAGGAAACAACACGCCCAGCGCACAATAAATTAGGACTAAATGTGCGGCCAACCACTGTGCCCATGCCCTGTCCTACGGTCGTCTTGAACCAGTTTTGCCATTGGAAAATGACCTGCAGAAGGTAAAATGCGCCAATAAATCGTCGACACGGTCGCCTTGGCTGTCTTCATCGAATGTATTTTTAAGCTATCATAACTCTATTCAATGCGTAAGGTACCGCCACCCACCGGGGTAGTAGTAGACACCGTCGTCGCGATCAACAGAAAAAGAATCAGTGATACACAAGCAGAAAACGACTCACCTGGCCCTCTTCTCCCCATCGGCCCTTGAAATGAAACACCTGCACAGTGCGTGAATCCGGTGGTTTAGCCAACGAGGACTTGTCCACCTTGCGAATGATGAGTTGTCGCCGGAAAATGCAGCTACGTCTCTTTGCCTTGCTTTCACTGTCCGTCGGTGAGGACAGGACTGGGCGAAGGTCACCCACCTGGCAAAGTTGAAAGTCACCAAATTGAAACCAGGGACCTGAGGGGCCGTTGAAAGGAGGCTCTGGCGACTCGTCATCAGCTGTGGAGGCACCCAGTGCCTCCACGACTTCAGCATCGGCCAGATCAAAGGGATAGGTGCTGGTGTGGAAGTCCACAAGGTCTTCGAAGATGAGGGAATCACGGTGGTCGGTCTGAGAAACGGGCCAGTAGCGTACGGCGTCCTCATTGCCGTAGCAAGATGGTTCAACGTCAACTATGCAGGACACCTGGAGGTAGAAAAGCAATCGAGTAGATGGGGTAGGGGAAGACGCGAAAAAAATGTATTTGCTGATTATTGTGACAGCGTTGGGAATGCGTCCATTCCCACGATTATTCATAGCACAGAAAGGCGTCGAAGCACAGTTGTCACGCCGCGCCAATGATAGCGAGCCTCCTAGCTATCGATTTTTCGTCATAGCTGATTGGTCCAGTGTTGTCAACGCTCCCTCATCAAGCTGACCGAATAAATACCCTGCAACCTTTTGCGAGTGTGACTTGCAGAGACTTGCTTGGCTTGCACTTTCTTGCCTAGACTTTTACTGTGTGAATACATATCTCCTCTCCTGGCTGGTTGACTCTCTCTTGCTGGCGTTAGGGGCAACAACTGGGCCAGTTCAGAGTTCGTGCTAATTGCAAGTACCAGGCGGGGGTCGTAACGACAGAGGCAATAGTTCAACCGGATGGAATATTTCAGAAGAGTATGAAACTAAGGGAGCGACACTAAATTTGCATCCATAGGCAAAGCCAAACCTGGTGAGATGATGATAAAGGGTGCTCTACAACCTCTGAATTGCCACGGGCACATCTGTCGACAATAAAAACTAATCCGTATTCCCCTCTGGTTACGGAGGCTAGTCTACTGTGATGTAAACTGTTGGGAATGCGCCCATTCCCATGATTATTCATCTCACAGAGAGGCCCGCGAGCTCATCTTACGCAGCTGTGATGAAAGCGCGACTTAACATTCGATTTTTCCTCCTATCTGATTGGCCAATTCACTCAGCTATGTCCCCCGCGTTCCCCCTTAAGTACATGCAGCCTCTATGTGAGAAGGACTTGCACTGACGTACTGTAACGTTCTTTGTCTGAGTAAACTTTCTCTCTCTGGCCGATTGGTCTTCTCTCTGTCTCGCTCTTACGGGCTCTTAGGAACCGGTCCATGTAAACTACTACTACCAGGCGCGGGTCGTGACAATTGGCGACGCAGTCTTTCACTCTACGATGGAGGAATTGTGCGCGGACTTCAGTCAGTATCAGTCAGTATATTTGGAGTAAATGACCGAAGCCCTT